GTTGTCCTATGTTTACAGCATCTATGTAGAAAATGATCTTTTCTTAGCAATTACCGCAACTGTGGGTTGAATCAAAACTGATGGAGGCAGAGTTCCTGATTTCAATTATATGTGGAGAAAAATGAATGTCTGGGATGGAGTACCGCTACAAGAATTTAGGATCAGTTACCAATTCTGCTTAAGCTCTTTTTGAAGGGGGTTATAACTAAGCCACTTTAAAATAAATATATATTAATATTTATTATGTTGAAAATCTGGCACAAATTTCCTCCCTGACAAATCACAAGGGTTTCATATGCTTTTTTTGCCCAGTTCGACTACAAGGGGCTTGCTTTTTAAAACCTGAAGTTTGGCAGCACATTGCCCTCAGTGTGCATTAATGCTCCTTTGTAATTTATTTTACATGAATGGCTACAGTGTTTCCTCATTGCTGTTGCTATAATAACGGCAGCTGCCGCAATTACAGCTGACTCAGTGCCGCAATTACAGCTGACTCAGTTCTGAAATCAATTCTCAGAAACGACAATTGTCCCACTTTTTAAAATTGCAGAAGTCTAAGGTAGGCTGTGAGATCCCTTGATTCAGCACAGCCTGCCATTGACAAGGAGCAGCAGGTATCCTGGTACATTGACTGGTTTGGAGTCTCACTTTTATCTCATTTTGCTGGGGAACAAAGCAAGGAGCTCACTTTGTATTCTTTCTCTTTCATTTTCCACGTATAAAAATACCTTTATAGGTCAGTTGCTAGAACTGAAAAATGCAATTACTTGATGACAGGCTATTTCTGTGGAAGGAAAGGTGTAAACGCTTTATTCAGAGGCCATTAGTCAAATACAGAGAGAATTGAATATATCTGATACAAAACTCTTCGATATGACTTTTGCTCCTTTCCCGTGAACCACAACGGATTTTGGTTCCATTTCTGCAGGCACATCCCCCTGGCCCGACCCTTACATACAAGTGGAGTCACAGAAGTCTCTGGGGCTCTGTGCGGGAGTAGGGGCCTGCTCGCCTTACTCAGATTGCCAGATCTAGTACTCACTAGTTATACCTTGATTAAAAAAAAAAAAGGGAGAAAGAAAAACTTTGTCTAGCTTACTAACAATGCATACATCTTACATAGTATTACTTATAGCCAGGGATCCTGGTTTTCTTTGATTAAAAAAAAAAAAAATCCCCAATTTTTGGGTTAAAAAAGTAACCCAAAATCTGCATTGTTCCGTCATCAGAATGAAACACCACTATACACACATCTCTGTATTAGAGGCATTTCATTTTAATCACAGAAAAAATGTGTATTTTGGGTAGGCAAGGTTCTTTAGACCAACTTTTATTAGATCAACTGAGTAGTTGGAAAAAAGTTCTTAGCAAGCTTTCGGGGGTTACTTTTTTTAACCTGAAAATTGGGGATTTTTCTTTTATCAGAGAAAACCAGTATCCCTGCTTATAGTACTAGTATTACTAGCACTAGCATTACTGTATAGCACTAGCTATACAGTATTTTATTGTTATTTTATTTTTTAATAAAAGGCCTTTTGCATTGGAGCCAACTTGAAGGTAACATGCACTTTTCTTCATTCACTTTGCTGTAGCTAATTTTATTAAAATAAAAATACTTTCCTCAGTAGCCCCCATTGTCCTTCTGTTGCGCCTACAGTGAAGCCATTCGTGTTGGATGTTAGTGGGATGCCATGACGAGAACTGGGATGACAGCAATTCACTCTCAGAAGTTTATATGCAACCCAGCTGGATAAAAGACAGGCAGTGACAGGCTAAAAATAGGTCCTCGTTTAAACATCAGCTTCCTGATACATTTGCATACAAAATAAGACATTTATGAGAAACACATAACATGTGAGTAAAGCTGTAGGTCAGATCTGATACTAGAACATTTTGCCAGTACAGCCACACCTTCCCGTACAGTTCAGAGAGAGGGAGCGAGTTGTGTTAGTCTGGAGACGGGCAGAAGGCAGAGCCCGCTTTGTCATGTGCTAATGAAGAAGTAGGTTGATACCTACAAAAGCTTATGCTTCGCTGAACCAGTCGGTCTCTATAGGGCCACTCTGCTCTACCTTCTGTCTGTACAGTCCATATATGTTATGGCAGGTCAGGAGCTTGCCTGTCCCTGTCGCCTGACATTTTTCATGCATGGTCGAGAGCAAGGTGGCCCTTTCTGGGGATAAGCTGTGTGCCTGGGCATGGTTTGGTTGTGAAAAAATTAAGCCAGTGCCTCCTGATTTTTACATTACAGCTTGATGTGGAAAATGAATGTATACAGTCTGTAAGCAATTCCTTTATGTTGCTTTCTGGCTTGCCACAACCCATACTGATTACCTATAAAAATTGTCAGGGAACGTGATGATGAGTGGTACAGTTTAAGGCAGGGGCAGACAATTATTTTGGGCGGAGGGCCGCTTACTGAGTTTTGGCAAGCCATCAAGGGCTGCATGACAGGCAGCCAGGGGCAGATAAATATTAATTTTCTAAATTTTTTAGGGGCCCCACGGGTCAGATACAATGGCCTGGCGGGCCGCATCCAGCCCGTGGGCTGCATTTTGCCTACCCCTGGTTTAAATAACAACCCCTGTTGTCTTCCTGTATTAAACTTTTTAGCTTCTTAAATGTTGGTCTTTCTAAACATTTTATGAATTACTGCAGTTTCATAGTTATTAGGGGCTGGAAGGGCCGATGATTGGGTTCAGCCTCCCTGCACTTGGGCAGGAAAGACCGCATAGCTCTTGTTAGCAGAAAAATTAGTAAAATGCCTTTATTTTCTATGCGTTGACAGCAGGAAAGTGTTTTCAGTATGTTCTCATTCTGCTTACATGGGACATTTTTCTGTAGCTTGTGAATTTTATTTTTTTGTGCTTTAAAAACTGGATATGGCTTGAAGTGCCTCTTACTTTTTGCAGCTGTGTAGAAGGCAGTGTTTCTAGTTGTAGCACAGGGAAAATTAAACATGCCTTTTTTACACCCATCCACAGAAGCTGAAAGCTCAGACTTGCAAAAGTTCTCGAAGTGTGTTTCTTCAGCTGAAAAAACGAATTTTCTCTTTAAAAAAGATAACAAAAAGTGAAAGGAAAGTAACTCGCCTGTGGAGCTGGTCTATCAGCCTTGTTTTTTCTGGAAAAACCTAGAGAGGAAGTTTGGTAAAACTTCATTTCTCTGGAATGTTGTGGAATGGGTGGATCTTTTTCAACTAATTCTTAAAGACCTGAGACATGATTTGCAGTGGGAAAGGTGCACCCACAACTCCCAGGGAAATCCGTGGAAGTGTGGGCACAGTCCCCACTTTGGAAAAAGTCCTTTATGCTCCATACTCCTGTACTAGATATTTACTTCTCTATTAACTAGTAGTGCCTTGAATTCGCCCAATACTCCCGTATACTCCTTTTGTTAATATTGCCTCATTTAATTCACTGCCAAGCCTCCTGAGGAGTGGTGGAGCTTGCCTTTTTTCCTAATGGCAGACATATCTTTGGGGCGGTACAGGTTTAGAATCTATTAAGAATACAAACCACAGCTAATACAGCAGCTTGGTTGGTTGTTTCTTTCTGTCTTGTCTTCTAAACATAATGAAAGCACTTTCAGATAGCGACAGTGCTTACCAGGATGGTTTGCACGGTATCTAGGACAGTGGTTCGTAACCTTTTTTAGGCTCAAGGCACGCCTCAGTAGGCTTGGGGCACCCCTCGGAAAATGTCAGCTTAGTTTTCACTCAGTTTTTGGCTACGGTAAAATACTTATGTTGCCAAGAACTCCGAGCCTTCAACAAACCAGAATGTTTTTAACACTGTCTATTCCCATTTAAAATCTCTGGGTTTATTTGGGAATCAAGTTTGCACACATAGCAGCGCTAACCTTGTGTAGCACCCTGCAGCAGCACCCTTGAAAGGATCTCAAGACACCCGAGGGTGCCACGTTGAGAGTCACAGGTCTAGGACAGTGCAGTCTGCACTTTGACCGGGGTCTTTCTGTTACTGCTGCTGCTCAAGCTATAGAAAAAATGAATATAAAAAGAAAATAAAAATTCCACTGCAGGAAGACTGGGGGAAAGAAGTATTGCCATCAGTATTAAAACACCGTGTATATACCCTCATCTGGAATATTGTGTCCAAAATGATATAGTCAAAGTAAAACATGTCTAGATTGGGGGAGCAAAAATGATTAGCGGTCTAAATAGATTCCCTAGGGAGATATTGCTTAATGTAGGGAGGGGGCATAATAGATATGTAAAATAATGGCACAATGAAGATAAATTAGCTGTCCCTTATTATTATTAAACTCATAGACTTGAAGGACCAGAAGGGACCTGCAAGATCAAGTCTGGCCCCATTATTATTATTATTATTATTGTAGTTGTTGTTGTTATGGCACTTGTGTATGTATACATTTATTATTTTTGCTTTCATGGCATTGAAGGAACATTAGGAGAAATTGAAAAGCAAGAAATTTAAGACAATATTTTTGTATACAAAACACTATTAAGTTCAAACTACCACTTTGGCTAAATGTTTAGCACAATTCAAAAGACTTATTTATTGGAGAATGAGGATATTCACAGTTACATTAAAAAAAAATATTTTTACAAGTGGGGTAAACTCTCATGCCACATAAGGGAAAGGATGACTGGTAAGGACTGTATTAGACGGTTTTCCAAATGGGCAAGTCTGTGACAATTATTCATGGCAGGGGATTTCTTTGACCTTTTAGGAAGTAGCTGGCAGCAGCCCCAGTGTCCAGCCAGACTGGACTAGACTGATTACTGGTTTGATCTGGCAGACGGTCCTTATTCCGGAGTAGCTGCATCATGCAAAAGTGTTCTTAGGACCATAACCCTTCAGCCTGAAGATCCCTGTTGAGACTCAGTCTGTAAACAGTGTTTGATGACTCACAGACGTTTAGGTAATTATCGAGCAGTTGGCAAAAACTTGCCTTGGTTTTCTCACAAGGGACATTAGTTT